GTCAAAGCAAATGAAAAGAAAACTCAATTTGTGTAACTATGTATTGCAAGAGTTAAGTTATTGTAAACATGGCATAAGGCGATTTGTGTCTATGCCATAAGTGACACATTTATGCCCTTAAGGCTTGCTCTCCGAGGACACCATTCTGTAAATAGTTAGCGGAATAAAGAGACATTCGATATTTGATAGCGAGAACGCCGAACGAGTTTTAGACTTCTCACCCACTAGGATTGTTCTATATCGAAAAAAGTATACCCCTATTTTTTATTTTCAAATCAAAAAATATTTAGCGCTCAAAGTTTACCATGTATTTTTATATTGGGAAAAAACAACTTTTCGCAAAAATGGTATAGAATTCTCGAAAATCAATATTTTTCGATCGGAAAACTCTGGTTCTCTTCAAGAGACTTTCAATAATAATACCCAATTGTTTATTTAACCAATTTCTAATACTAATGATTTTTTATTGGTCCGCCCATTGCATTTTTCGGAGTTTTTATAGGTTTTTGGCGGACGTATAAATTATAGTTGCGATGAAAAAACGGTTAAATACACAATTGGGTATTATTATTGGGAATCTCCTGCAGATAAACAGAGTTTTCCGATAGAAAAATATTGATTTTTAAGAATTATATACCGTTTCTACGAAAAGTTGTTTTTTCTCAAGAAAAAAATTAAAATTCTTACAAATTGACGCACAAGAAATGCAAAAGAAAGTTTTTCATATCAAAATTTCTTAAATCATAATAAATTTAACCCCAAAACCCACCCCTTGTGTGCGCTACGTGACAAATTTGATATGTAAAAGTAAACAGACAGTGTTTAATTTTGCACACACTAGGAGAGGAAACTGGTTACCTCTCTTTATATGCGTAAATTTAAACGAAAATTTTTTAGAGGAAATTTTAAACATTTTATGTGTAAACTGTGAAAATGTGAACAATAAATGTTTAAAACTTAAAAAAAAAAAATGACATTTGTTCTACGCCACACATATGATAAGTAAAAGTAAGCAAGCAGTGTGTAAATTNGTGAGAGCATAAAAATCATAAAAATTCCGACTTTAATTTTTCACATGCATTTTTTTGGTTCATCCTAATGTACATACATATGTATGCATGTAATTTTTGTAATTTTTCTGTAACTTAAGGAACCGTTGAAAATTAAACTTTACAATGTATGTACAAGAATGAAAGAATACAAGATTGCGTATTCCCAGCGGCGATGACATTTCTCAAGTAAAAGTAAATAAAGCTGAATGAATAGGAGAATAAAAGAAACTGTCAAAAGATAAAATTTTCGTAATATTCAATTTTTCGGTAGAAAACGTCGTTTAATTGTGTTAAATTGTAAAAAAAAAAAAATGATTTATTCATAAAAAGAATTAATAAAGAAAATGTTAAAAAACTGCGATTTTTATGAAAGTATTAGTGAATTTCAATGAATTCATGGTTTCTGAGGCGTGGTTTGGTTTTAGTTGAGAATTTTCAAAATCGGATGCGATGTTGCTTTGACCAGGGCTTCATCAGTCCGTAAAGAAACAAAAATGTTAAATAGGGCCTTTCTATATTAAAGTAACGATTGTACTTTGTACATACATACATACATACATACATACATGCATATGCATGCTTCTTGTCCAAAGTGTGGCTTCAACCGGCCATTTAACTATGTAACTCCATTCATTCATGCATTCAGCCATGCTGGTAAATGGCCAGAAGCCTGTCAGAGAACCGGATGTGTTATTTACTTGATTTATGCGAAATGTTCTTCCGAAGGAGGATACTCTTTAATGTTTCAATGGTTTATTGTATGTATACATTGTGTTACCTTCCGAGCGCTGCCAGCTTCCACTTTATACAGTTAACGGGGAAAATTGTATATCCTCGCTCATAAAGTAAAAGTAATAAAAAGTCATGAACGGAGAATTGAAAAGCAAAAGTGGTGGATGTACTATACACCACTACGGTCGGATAGAGATACGACGTAAAAATGGCGGCGAAAAGAAAAAACTACTATCACTCCAACGTTGCCATGGTTGGTATTGAGCTTCGGCTCTGCAACACACCTACTAGCTACATACATATGTACATAAGTACATAGTTACGGTGACCATATTTATGATAGTCGGATATGGCACAAAAAGTAATTTTGCAAATTTTTTCCACATTTTCCATTTTCTTCTTCAAATTTTCTTCTGGCAATTTTTTTTTTTTTTTTTTTTACGGTGTTATACATTTTGTTCATCAAAGTAAGTACTTATGTTCGACCATTTTTTTGAAAGAGAAACAAATGAGCAGCACTTTCAACTCGCACTTTATTATACTGAATTTTAATGAATTACAAAACTGCAAACCAAATTTTTTTCTAAAGATTCTAGTTAAAAAGTTTGAGATTTTGGTGAAACATTGCAGAATTAATTTTAATAGTTTTATGCACAAAGTTAGAAATTTGGTGTTACATCGTTTTCGTTAGGAACAGAGCTCTAATTTGGTCACTGCTCGATTCAAATCACAGGCATTCAGATTAGAAAATTTTAATTGTTTATAGAGAAAATTACGATCCTATAGCAACATCACTTAAAACTCGTTCATAGGCACGCCATTTTAATCAGCTGTTAAGGCGTCGAAACACCGAATACGGGACAAATACAGGACATTAAAAGAAATACAGAACATTTGGCGTCCCGTATAAAATAAATAAATTACCAGGACAATGGGTCAAAAAGGAGGACTGTCCCATAAAATACAGGACGGATGGTCACCGCATACATAGTACATACATAAAATTTTAGGAGCAACTTACGAAAAAATCGGTGCAACTTCGTAGGAAAATATGCATGCAAAAAAATATTCGTTTGTACATACATAAATATACACATAGTAGTAACCGCCAAAATAACGTAAGCGACATTTTTTTTTTACAAAATTTTCTTTTTGATGCAGAAATGCATCTAGATGCTCTAGGAATATTTCTGCATCAAAAAATAAATAAATTTTGAAAAAAATGTTGCTTACGTTATTTTGGCGGTTAGGTTAGGGCTCGATATCGTCATTTAAAATACAAAACCTCGTATCAACAAAATGCAAAACCGCATATATGAGGTTGCATAAATTATTTTCTAGATAGTAAAAACACTCATTTTTCAAAATGATTCCCTTTTTTATTAAGCAATCGCATTTCTGGCTAGTTTATTTCAGGACGAGTGGATAAGGATTGAGCCAAGAGCTTGAGGGAGCAAATCCAATTTTTGGCAAAAAATGTCAGTTACGCGGTTTTGCAGAACGACGATACGCGGTTTTGTACTTTAAACGACGATATGTAGATACTATGTAGTGATGTGCGGTTCCGAGTATATAAAGAACCGGTTATGTCGAGTCTGGTTCCAAGGAGGAGAAGAAGATTTTAAAAAGTTTTCACAAAAATTCAATTTCTATTTAAATATATTTTTGTTATAAAGTAAAGTGAAGAAAATAAATAAATATATTACATTCATTCCTTAGTAGATATTTTGATGGTCCTCTGCAATAACGACACAACTCAAAATTTCATATATTTCAGTAGAGCAAATTAAATATTTTGTGTTTCGTAATTTAGCAATATGTCTTGGAACGTAATTATTCCGGATTATTTTCTGTCATTCTCTGGGGAAAATTTGTACGCTTTCAAATTATGACCTTTTCTAAAGATTTCGTAAGTGTTGGACTGCAAAAATGCGAAATAAGTAACAACTCGTAAGTAGTTGTATTTGTATTGCTGAACAAAGGCGCAGTACGAAAAGTGTCGTTATTTCACATAAGAGCATAACTACTAACCTATCGAGAGTTTTTGACATATGCCAATTATCAAGGTAAATATGAGAAATATGCCACTGTTCAGTAATAAGGGTTGGCTACTTCGGTTTTGTGACAAATGGCAAAACTGCGACTCTGCCGGATTGATAACAACTAAGCCTATGTTGATTTGTCAAAGAAAAATATGGCTATTTTTAAACCTAATCCGCTATATAACTCAAAAACAGGAAATTTTGAATTGTGCCGTTATTCCAGAGGACCATCGATTTGTGTTACAAAAATTTTATAAAAATAAAATACATGAAATTAAATTTAAGTAAGCGATTGCCACGTTAAGGTTTCATTTAAGAAAAAGTAATGTTTCCATTCTTTTGACGCATTGAAATCGCAGCTGACAGCGATTTGAAAGCATCGAAAGATGAGAAAGAAATTTAGCATAACATTTAATTCAAAGGAAAAAATTTTTAATTCAATCAAACCGAATTTCAAGTCGATAGCATCACAAACAATACAAAAGTATAAAGTGCCTCAAACCGAAAAAGATTTGGTAGTTCAACTCAGAATTCTATAACAGATAGTATGTATCTAAACTTAATTTGGGGATGATATCTGCATATTTGGACTTTATGCTAAAACAATAATTTTTTTGCCCATAGTGCAATGTGCGCTTTGTGGCCGATTTTCGGTTCTTTTTAATGGATATTCAGTTCATTTTTTAATTATTTTTTTTTTTCAGTTATTCTGAGATCAATTTCCGATTCTTCCTGAACTGTTTTGTGATTCTTTTGGAATCAAGTTTCGGTTTTTGTAAGAACCGGACCGGTGTGTTCTCTAAAGGACCCGGTTGCGGTTCCACGGTTATGTGCATCACTAGTACTATATAAATAGAATATTATACGGGTAATAATAAAAAGTAGGTGGGGAGGTGTGTGAAAAACTTTGATTTTGTATACAATTTAAATACTTTAAATTCAATACTTTAATAACTTTAACTAACTGTACATCTTTTCCTTTTTTTCAGGTAAGTGACGTCCAACTCTTTATTTACTGCAGAGGCATAACCCGGTTTCGGTAAACTATCTTAAATGTGTTTTTGACTAAAGACTATACATACCTACATATTCGTAGGCCCCGCTATGCTGTGTAAATATGTATGTATGTATGTATGTATGTATGTAAATACGTATGTATGTTTGTATGCACGTACATACATTTGTATGTAAATATACTTACATATCAGTCATAATGTACTTTCCCTGCCAAGCGCAAACAACCGTAAACAAAAGCAACAGAAGCAAAGGCACCAATTACTACATAGTAAGTACTACAGTAACCAAATGTTATTTCTGTGGCATACTCGGTAGTTTGTTGTGACAGTGGTGGCCACTGAATGATCTAACCATTCGAAGTAACACAACCAGTGTTGCCACACATGGGCTTCTCCAACCAAAACTGGTAGGTTTTTTTTCCATTTAGTAGGTTGGTAGGCTTGATTGGATTTTGGTAGGTTTCGGGACAATAGTTATTCAATTAAAATATGCATCTCCAAATATTTTAGCAACCTTTTTTACATGAATATTTTTCACTGGTGAGTTCGTATAACGGCGGCCGCAAACATGTAAATATACCTGATTCCTAAGTACAAACCATTAACCCTTATTATTGCCAATATGCAATGCGAACAGCCATATATCGTCACCTAAAGGTGAAAAGGTGCCAAGTCCATTTTTTTTTTTGAATTTATTCAGGAGAGGCGAAAAATCGATGTAGTTTCGTATTACCTGTCATTCTGCATCAAAAACTAAGCTGTGAAAGAAATGGACTAGATACCTTTACACCTTTTGGCAGCGATATAATTTATGGCGTACTTGGACCAAGATTACAGAAATGTCTGCCAATGGGCTCGTACCCAACCATATTCCAGGCGGAGGTTTTCAAATTGCTGCTCACTGGCGAAAGTCAAAGGGATAAGACAATCAAAGAGATTCATAACTCTTTCCTGGAGGAACTCCGAAAGACACCTTGAACTTAGAACTCTTACTGGCAACCTGACCTGACCTGACTAAATGGGTCTTTCTGTAGAGACGGACTGTAGATTTTGTGGGCTGGTGAAGGGTATATTCTCCTTGGAGAACGATTTGCTTCTCCATATAAAATTTGGAACATGGCATCATTCAAAGTGCTGAGCACTAGACACGCTTCCTTGCCATCACCTACGTCAGTCAGTCTTTCTTCGCCGAAATTTTTTTCACGCGTCTTTTTTCGCTGTCATCTTTTGAGCTCGCGTCTTTATTCGTATCTAGTAACGATAAGTCTGTTCAGTGAAATGAATCGTTACACGTACTTAATTTGTTTTTATTTTACTAGCCGTGTTATAGTTTTACTAAATGTTATGTTAGCTATGTTTTTAATAAATTTGACAATGAAAGGAAATACTAAAACTCAAAAATAAAATTTTGGTAGGTTTTGGTCGGTTACGAAAGGAAATGTTGGTAGGAAAAAAAATGTGTCTGTGGCAACGCTGAACACAACACTAGTCACGATTCCGCAACGGCAACACTCGCTTCGTCTACCAAGACTCGGCCAAGTGCAAACCAGCTTGAGACTGTGGAGCCATATGTGTTGTTATAATTGTTGTTGTTTAGAGCGAGAGCTCCATGTAGACCGGCTGAAGTTACAGTAGCCGCAATTTATTTGTTTATTTTTGTCTTTTGTTTTTGTTTCCTCTTAAGCTAGCTCGCCTTTATCGGCGTCCGTTTTCTGCAAGCTTCCCTTCGCTTGTACACACCACAATTTTCCGGTTTATGGATATTGCAGACGACAGAATACCTGCAACAATAATTTTACCAGCCATGAGGCAACAATGAATGGAAGAGTGTAGCAAAGCCACATTAGCCACGGATGGTGACCGTCGCTGCGTTTACATATCGGTGGCGATTGCGGAGTACGGCTGCATGCAGCAGCGGTATGTTTACGCTGTGCCATTCCAACCGATTGTCGGCTTGTTTACTGAACGCAGAAACACCGAAAACACAAGCAACAGCAACAACAACATAAGTAAATTGACGAGACGCCGGCTAGCCAGCAGACTATTCGACGACTTGACATCCCACGCCGGGCTCAAGCCGGCTGTGTAGCGGGGATTGGTTCGGTCGATCGGTCGATTAACCTGCTCGAGGAGACTCTATGGTAGCACTTGAGACCGTAATTACGACAAAGCGGCTTTAAAGCCAGTGTAGAGATTCGAGTGGAGCGTGGGCAGGGCCGCAGTAAAGCGATGCTCATTCTCTTGGCCATAAACAATTAGTACCTACTCGAGATTAGAGCACATTTGCTATGTACATATGTACATATGTAAATAAGTTTGTGGTTTGGGGACTTGCTGTCTTTAATTTAATCTGAAAACTTATTTGGGCGATTCACGACAATTGTAAACGAATACTTAGGCAGCAAAAGTAAACAGTATTGGATTTCGCACTCTGACCACTTGCCTTGCAATTGTACTCCAACTACAGTGGTCGCCCAGTATAACGAACTTTCTGCATATGGATTTTCTGTTTAACAAATATATATTGCGAACGCTAATTCCAGTATTTTTTTTTAAGTTCGCGTCCTTCGTTAAGCCAATGATACTTTAATTGTTGTCATCTGCATTCAATAGTTTGTTTTAAGATCAAGTTAACATTGACTTTGGATAAATTGGCAGCCGGGAACTAAAACACTTTCCCTAAAAATTAAAATAAATGTTCGAATTTTGTAGTCTTTGAAATAAATAGAATAGAATTCTTTAAAAGTTATATGCATTTAATGTAATACCACTATTATAAGTACAGAAAAATTACTCGATTTAACGAATTTTTCGGTTTTTCAAATATCAAACAAAAAAACGAGTGGCCCGACGAGCCTAAATTGCCCCGAAAATAGCATTTCCGGATACGTGTATCTTTCGGTTCGTATCTAAGTGCTGCTGCCTCCTCACTGCTACAGTTTCTAGTTTGTTTTCCGTTCGAGTCATCTCAAAAGCGGCAGTCGATGCGCGTTCAAACGAGACCGAACCTGAGTCTGCCTTGCTCGGCAACTCGTCATTGCACTTACAATTACATTTTGCTCGAGCACATATAATCTGGTTAAGTCTATTAGAGGTCTCCACTCCACTCCACTTTCGTCGCCCATCTGCCTGCCATATTGTTGCTGCAATCGAGGGCTCGGCGCCGAGTTGGGAGCGATGTGTGTTGAGTTACGGTGTGTGTGCATTTGTCGGAGTAATAGCTTAAGTCAACTCAAGTGCCACTTTAAACTGCTGTAAATATGTCGAAGTGCACTTGGCCAACAATTTAAAGCGGCAACTTGTCTCTGGCTTTGTGCACTTGGTGAGTGTATCTGTGTATATGTATATTGTATGTATGTAAGCTAAATCTGCCCTGCAGGAAATGTGTCTAACTATAAGTTAACCTAAAGTTGATTAGGAAGGAGCTAAAAGTCACTTATCTGTATATATTTTCTATGACGATGGCCGCGAAGTAGTCAAGGGTGGTTACCTCTGCATTTGATGTAACTAACTTCTAACTAACTACTTTTGGACATAAAAAATTAATAGGAAAAACAAAATATTTTTTTTAAATTTTTTTTAATTTTTATTTACTTCGTTTATTTTATCACATTTCATATTTGTTTCCATATTCTGCTGTAGATGCTCCCATATTCGAACTCCGTCAGACTTAACTTCAAAATGATATATATATGAAATTTCGATCTTCCTTTTATTTGTTCTCAATTCGAAAAAGTATTTGCCAAGTGCAGGATATAAACGCTTTTTGTAGCTAACTACAAGTTATATATTTTATAGAAATCCCGCAAAAAAGCTAACTACAAGTGGATAAGTTTTTATCAATTGATAATTTTTTTCTGCAGGGTGTGGCTACGTGTTTATATGTAGTATGTATCTGCTCTTCGATAGGAGTGAGTGCTATAAGCAGATGACTGCAGATAAATTCAGAAATCATTAATGACTCACTACATATGTAAGTGTGTTAGAAATTTCGATTTAAATTGTATAGAAAGAATTCAGAACTTTTCAGATTTTCTGAGCAAGTACTTACATATTCACATACAATTCATTTACATATCGTTACCTTAATATAGAAAGAAAGGCCCTATCTCACATCGTCGCTGAAAATCTCTCCGATAAAAAAATAAAAAATATTGAAATCATAGATAAAAAAAAAATATTCCGACGAATTGATAATCTCCCCTTTTTTTGAAGTCGGTTACAAATGTTTAAGTTCATTGTTAATTTTATGTAAATTTAAATTTTTTAATTGCAATTATTTAAAAGTTTAATTGCAAAGCGCAATCAAAACTTCAATTGCAACTAATTTAATTGCAATTACTTTTTTAATCAATTAACAAGATGATTAAAATATTAGTTGATTAACGCCCAACACTGCTGAGTGGAGGATCGACCTATCTCGGAAATGCCCTATCCCAGAAAACTTTTCAAGAACTCTCTAGTTTAGAATTTTATTGAAATCCACCCTAATTCAGAGATTGGCGGAAGAATGCCCTATCTCAGCTGCCGATTCAAAAACGCCGTATCTCAAACGAAAATACATTGAAAATGTGCTGAGATACGGCGTTTTTCAATCAAATTATGAAATAGGGCGTTTTTGAGAAATGTTTCTTAGCTGGGCGTTTTCGAACTGGCTGCCAAGATAGGTCAATCTTCCGCTCAGCCATCGATATTATCGAAGCGAATTTTCAATATTTTCTGGTGATATATTTTTAGAAGTATGAGTGAATCCCCCCACCCGCCGCCAAAAATGTATTCCTGGGTTCAAATCGGAACCTATAACAACGATGAGACATTTGGTTTAGCTATTTTAATTACTTTCGAGGTTCTGTGCTATTTTTTTTTCTACAATAAAATAACTCAGCTTAAAAATGATTGGAAATGTCTCGCGGCGCCTTGCGTGCTTCATAAACGGCATGAAGCATTTCACACCTATTACCTTCGTTCTTTTTACGCCTTATTTGCTTGCTTACTCACACTTTCCGCATTGTTTTCATACTCGGTGCGAAATTCTCACGCTTCTATGGTTTCTTTGCACTTAACTGGGCGGCTATTTTGAGTTTGGGCCGGTGTCCATTACTCTTGTTGTTAACCAGTTATTGCCCAAGACTGCACTAATTAAAATGAAAAGTTGACACGAAACCTAAAAAAAAAAAACAAAAAACAGGAATGAAAACCAGAAAGCAAAGACTGCCGACTGCCAAGGCAAAGGGCAATCGCTCACAGCGACACACAACTTAGCGAAACA